CTCAGTGAGGATTAGCCATTTTTCATGATATCTTCAAATATTATCAAATGATTGGGTCGACGATCGTTAGATAAGATATTTCAAAAGAAACAAATGAACAACCATTTCTTCTTTTTGTCATTGATTCTTGCATTTAATGCTGATGTCAGAAATTTCTTTTGGGGACTCACAGTTTTTCAAAAATCAATTTTATCATAAAATGAATGTGTATTTGTAACCATCATCCTTGTTGTCAATGAGAGAATTTCGTTTCAAAAATTTTCAATGGATTTCTACTAGGATTACAACATGAAACACGATGAAGCTGTTATCATCCCGAACACAATTAGGTAGCCAGGCGGCTCCAATACTCAGCACTGTGTAGTAAGTTGCTGTTATACACCTGTTATGATATGTTCGTATATTCCTGTGGGCACCGTAATTAACTGTACGTATACCTTCATCAATGGTTTCAAATTGAGAGACAGTATCATTCACAGGGTACATCTGTTAGATGATGGCAGATTAACTTGTCTAGCTACGCACTTTCACAGTTGTTAACAATCGTGTTTTAGTGAAACGTGTAATACAATGTTTAAAGTGTTCATCGAAAAATATGCTTTGCAGAGTTTAAGTAAAACTATGTTGACATGAATACTCGACTCGGCTTATTGACTGCTTTGTATTCAATGCGAAAGAGTGTTCGCACGTCTGTCTTCGCCATCAATGCATATAATGTATACAAGGACACATATCCTATGTATTTTGTGTGTTTGTACAGTTTATTAGTGTATTCTCTAGCAAACTAACGAAATAAAGTTACGATAAATTTTAACACCATTCACGGTTACTATATGATTTCTTCTATTGCAAACTTTTATGATAGCTGAGACCGGCAGAGATCCGCTCCGATGAAGTCAAACAGATAGATAATCGCCCGTATCGACTCCATTTTCAATGCTCTGCCTTGATATGATTTTAATAACCTTAAAGGATAACTATTCTCGCAATTAAGTGATTTGGAAACCTTACCAAGTGATAAGAAGCTTTTCGAGGAGACTTTCTTCATTATATAGGACCGATCGAGAGTAGAATATGTCTCGAATAGATCGCATTGTTACGTCTCCTTTCTCGAGTTAGAACACTTGTACTAGTTTTTCGATTTATTTTCACGTACATCATGATAAATTAAATTTTTGAATTTCGATCTGAAATTTTGTGCTCAGAGAGAAAATAAAGCGAAATCCAAAAAATCTTAGTTGAAATCATCAACACATACTTTCAATATAATATGCATACTTAGCTACGAATTAGATTAATTGGATTGTTTCAATATGATCGAAACCTGCCGTACTATGTTCTGCTAATTACATATCATTTAATTAACGTTTTGGTTTATGTTTATAGTGTGCTAATTTGCTTTTCATTTATGCAATTTATTTAGATAAAACAGCAATTTTCAATAAACATTGTACTTAAAATTCGTATTAACAATAAGATTAAATGTTTAGATGTATTATTATTTGGTAACCTGATCGTATTTTAAGTTATAGCAAAAATATTAACAAAAATAAAAATAAAAAAAGGGCTGCATTACTTTTCCTTATCAAATTTTATTTATGTGAGAACAAAAAACATTATACGGTTTCATTCAATATGACTTCCTATAGCATACATTTACTCTGTAGGTTTTAGATATTGTATTCTCTATATTTATATACATTTTATGATTGATACGAATTTCGTATTCTGATTAAGATTGGTATGAAAAATAAGGTATTCAAAAGAACGTCTTTATATAATTCTAAAGGACATTACGAACCAAAATTAATTTTTTAAATAAAAGAAAAAGATGATTAGCATTGAATTGTTTTGCGCTCTTGTCATGAGACACAGGTGTGGTTTTACTCTCACGATGATAACAGTATTAGTACAGAATTAATTGACTGAAATATGTACTTTTCTATACTCGTATTTAAGTGGAAGATTGACTATTGTCCAAAATAGACATAATATTACGAAGCAAGTAACGTAGATATGATTGCCGCGCCTATTATTGTGGCATATTTCGCAGCATGGTCTATTTATTCTCGATCATACTTTGTTGCTGATATTCCAGGCGATAAAATCACTCACATCAATTATGCATTTGCCAATATTGGCTCAGATGGACGATTGGTGTTGGGTGATTCATGGGCCGATGTAGAAAAAGCTTTTCCAGGTGATACATGGGATCAGTCATTACGTGGAAACTTTAATCAATTACTTAAACTCAAACAAAAACATCCACATCTTCAAACATTAATTTCTGTTGGTGGATGGGTAAATTTTATTTCTTTCATTTTTCATCTTAAAACAATATTCTTATAGACATGGTCTGGTAGATTTTCTGATGTTGCTCTAACGGCTGCAAGTCGTTCTAAATTTGCTCAATCTTGTGTTGAATTTGTGCAAAAATATGGTTTTGATGGAGTTGATCTTGATTGGTAAGTGTATGTATTTTGTTTTTCAATATAACATAGTGTTTTGGTTTTAAAGGGAATATCCTGTCTCTGGTGGACTTCCTGGAAATATTGTCCGACCAGAAGATAAACAAAATTATGTACTTTTACTTCAAGAAATTCGTCAACAACTCAATACTGCTGGTAATCTCGATGGAAAAAGATATCTATTGACTGTGGCGTAAGTTAATAAATTTCAATTGATAAAAGTATTTCATTTTATTTTATTCTGTATTTCTTTTATATAGCACAGGTGCAGGTACTGAACGAATTGCTGATATGAATTTATCTGGCATGTCTAACTATCTTGATTGGATTAATGTTATGACCTACGATTTTCATGGTAAATGCTATTTTTTCTCGTTACATGTTAACATATGTATTTGTGTTACTAAACGACAGGCAGTTGGGAGTCAAAAACTGGTCATAATGCTCCATTGTATAAAAACGATGCAGAAACAGCCACTGATATCGCTCCATCATTCATCAAATCGAGATACAATTGTCATGCATCTATTCAAGCTTATATTGCTGCTGGTGTTCCTCGCTCGAAACTAATCATGGGTTTAGGTTTATATGGACGTGGTTGGCAAGGTAAAATTTATTGCTCATTGATTAATTATTTTAAATCGATTTTATGTTTCTATCTAGGAGTCACTAGTACAGCTCAAAATGGATTTTCTCAACCTGCTTCAAGTCAACCTCCAATGGGTACATGGGAAAATGGAATATTTGATTATGATCATTTGAAAAGAAGTTTTATACCTACATATACACGTTATTGGGATGATGCATCTAAAGTACCGTTTCTTTTTAATCCATCAACAAGTATTTGGATAAGTTATGATGATCTTGAATCGATTTCACTAAAAAATAATTACATCAAGCAAGAACAATTGGGTGGTGCAATGTTTTGGGAATTAAGTAGTGATCGTAATGCAGAACTTGTTGGTGCTACATTTTCAGCATTAACCAATGGTCAAACACCACCACCAGGAACAAACCCTCCTACTGCACCAACCCCTACTACTGCTCAAACAAATCCACCTACTGGTACTCCTTCTGTTTCAACGACTCAAGCACCTAGTGGAGATGCTCTTGCATGGAAAATTAATAAATATTATAATGTAGGTGATCGAGTAACATATAATGGTAATACCTATCGATGTCTTCAAGCACATACATCATTACCTGATTGGACACCAACTAATGTTCCTGCACTTTGGCAACTTGTTTAAATTGTCTTGCTCTTTCTTTTTTCAATTTAAACTTTGTATCTATTCGAGCCATAAAAGAGTATTTAAAAAAAATAAACGATTAGAACGATCTATAAGTTATACTCGATAATCTACAAATATTTATATAAATATTTATATTTAATAATTACAGTTCAAAACATACCCATCGTGTAATAGAACATCATGCAAACGAGAAGAGTTTTCTGTAATCATAATTTTATGTATTAAAGCTGCCATTTACTACAAATAGATTATCAATCAATGGTACATGCAGACTTTGACTTGCACTCTATAAGTCAATATTTGAAGAACAGCTGTTGTTTTCAATATTATTCTGTACATTTACACAGCTGAATATCATTCTTAAATATTGATATGCTTCAGAAATGAACAATTGTCATATGTTTGATTTGATTATTAACATTTATAAATAACGCACAAGATTGAAAATAATTTACCTTGAAGAGAGATTACTCAATGTTTTTATTTTACTGTATTCAAGTTATTATTGTCAATATATACTTCATCATACTTACTTGTCCTTGTCTTTAAGAAAGAAAATTACAAAAAAAAAGAATATTTTGATAAACATCTCCATTCATATATATTATTGTATCATTACATATACTTTGCTTTTCATCCAAGCTTTCTTATCATACAGTACATTAACAATTTCATAGTTCAGACTATTATTTCAATATTAAAAGAGAAAAATGTTCACTTGAATAAATGATTTAAACTAGGAATTATCTTGAGGTATGTATATATCGATTATAATAAGACTAAGCTTCTAACTTTATAGGCTTTGTTGTTGAGAATTTCTAATGATAGACTGAAAACTATTTGCCAAATTTTGAGTCTAGTCCATTTGTATACATTACCGATTTATGCTTCAAGAAAAATATCTGTAGTTCTTTTTAATATTTTTTTCGATGTAATATTATCTTTGATTACAATTTTACAAACACTCAATAGAGCATATATACACTAAGATTACTTTTTTTCAAATATCTAAATCAATCTTTAAGGAGTTTTATTAAAGTTTTCTGTCGATTTGTTCAATTATCAATCATCATTATTTGAATTTCCTATTAAATAAAAATAAAAGATAAAAATCAATTCGCAGTTAAGAATATATTTATTTAATTATCTTCTTTTTCTACAAGAATAAATTCACATATAACAAGACACACACACAATTAGGTAGAGAATTAGGAAGACGAAAATACATAGAAATAGCAATGTACAGAGACAAATAGGTTAAATTATCTAATCAACAGTTTTACATGCGAAATCGTCTATAGAAAAGAAAAATAAATTAGAATTAACAAAATCAAAGAAATATTCACTTACTTAGGTGCTACTGCTGGACCCTGGCGGGACGAGGGTGATTGTGTACTTGTCTACAATAAACCAAATAAAGTTTATTTGATTCAAAAAAAAAGAATTTTTCTTACATCTTGAAGAATTCGTTCTTCACTTTGACATCGTTTATGTAACATTAACGGGTCTGGTGGTGATGTACATGTTAATCGTTCAACATCATTAAAAATAACATTAACACCGCCCGTACTTGATGGAAGAACATCACCCTAATCAATAAAAAAATCAAATTAAAATTAATTTATTGTTGACTAAGAAAAAAAATCAATTGAATTTACTTTAACAAAATCAGTAACAATTTCGCCTTGTGCATCAAGATTTTGATGTGTTAAAACATATTTTGTTGTTCGAACTATTTCTTCTTTAGCTGGTACTTGTTGAGTACAAACTTTCTTATGAAATTTTGGTTGAAGAAGAGTCTCTGTATTACAACAATAATATACATTTATTAAAACCAATAATTTAAAAATTTTGTTTTACCTGTTTGAACTGTTCCTTGTGGTCGATGTTCAAGCCAAATTTCACTTAATGAACGTGACCTACGATGTTGTTGTCTTGGATGAGCAACAACTATATGTCCACTTCCATTTTCAATATGCATTGGTTCAGTATTAGGTGTATGTGGAGTATGAGGACGACGACGAGATGTTGAATTTAATGTTGGTGTATTATTATTATTATGAGATATTATCATTTCAACACGATGATATTGTTGCTGTTGTTGTTGATTTTGATAAACATTTTCAGTCGGATTCCTAAAGCATAATATGATGATAAATGTGTACGGGTTTTGTTTTGTAAATTAAAAAAAAAAAATTTTACTCAAGATTAACATGTGATGATGCTGAATTAATTGGAATTAAAAATTGTTCACTTGTAATGGTATTACTTGCAGCCATTGATCGAATGATATTTAATCTATCATCATGCTGTCGTTCAAGTTCATGCATTTGATTTTCTTTATTTTTTATTTCATTAATCTAAATATAAAATTTGAAGTATTTTTTTCTTTCTATAAAATGAATGATTTACATATTGTTGTTCAATTTCATTTAATTTTATTTTCATTTTATTTTCAAAATCATTTTTATCTTTTCGTCGTTCGGATTTTAATGATTTGATTTCATTATTTCGTTCTTCAATCTAATTTTCAACAAAAAAAAACTCTTTGTTAATAGATTAAGATTATCGACAAAAAAAATACTTGTGTTTTAAGTGTTTTATTGTCACGGTCAATTTGACTTGTTGTTTTATATAAATCATTTTGAGATTTTTCTAATACTTTAATTCGGGTTTGCAAGTGACGAATTGTTTTTGTTTGTTGTTCATTTTCTTTTGATAAATCATCATGATTCGACATGGTTGATTCATAATCAGATACTAATTCAAGTGTAAATTTACGTAAAAAATCATGTTGTTCTTGAATAAGCTAAATAACAATAAGAAAAGCAAATTAAGAAAATAATGCAAAAGATTTGTTTTATACCATATTTAATCGTTGTCGTTCTTCTATACGTCGTCGTAAATGTTCTTGAAGAATTAAAATAGCTTCATCATCACCAGCTCCATCCAGTAAAGAATATTCAAGTGGTGGAAATGGAGCAATTAATGCTTGAGCACTAGATAGAAACAAATTGATTTTCAGCATTCTGTGAAACCAATGGTGCGAAGATAAAATTAACAATAAAGCTAGAGAGCACGTGCATAACCTTCGATGATGACTGAGTGCTCCATTCGTTTAGATCAAGACGTTAGAAAGAGTGCCATCGTAATAGATATAGCAACTTAGAAATGATTTTATCATTCTGATGAGGACACTTGCACTACATTTTTTGAACTAGTTGGTAGTTCAATACGTTAGTAAATATGGTAACTCTACCGAGTAGCCTGATATATATATATAAATATTAAAATTCGAAAAATCAGATTCTCAAATTTCAGAATTTTATTGCCAACAAATGAAATTAAAATTTCTCAATAAATTTTGAGATGTTTAACTATGATTTACTATACTTTTCTAAGACATTTTTCTATGGTATTCGTTTGTGAGAATGAAAACTGGACATGAATATTCGTTTCTATGATAATAGTGTTATTTACTTGAATTCAGTAAAAAGTACTGCTTGTGCATTTTGTTGCTGTTGATTATCAGTTTCTCGTAAAACAGCAATACGAGTTGTTTTTGGTGGAACTGGTGGAGGTGGTGGAGGAGGCGGTAAAGAACGTGGCACCATAACATCTTTCGTTAATTCACCGAATTTAAGTGCATGCTAAAAGTACAATTATTCAAAATAAAAAATTAATCATCCATTTATTTACCTGAATTTCTTCATATCCATCAACAGTTGGATTAACACAAAGTATCATTCGTATTCGACCTTCACCATCAAAATAACTCTTGAAAAAAGATGTTAATTTTGATTCACGATACGGCACCATCTATTTAATAAAGTATGATTTTCTTTGATTAGAAATGAAAAAAAAATAAATAAACAAACAAATTTACCTTGCTTGTACCTTGTGCTTGATTTTCACGTAATATTTCAAAACATTGCCGAAGAACCATTAATGATGAATTAATATTACCTAAATGAAATTGAAATTTATATAAAGAACAATACTAAAAATAATTAACTTACTTGCTTCTTTGACTCGTTCACCAACTGTTTTAGCTCGATTAACACGTTCACTACCAGCTAAATCAACTAAATGAATAGTACTTATTGTCAAATCATCTTTTGTCTATCATCAAAAATAAAAAAAAGAAATACAGAATATTTTCTCTATTAAAGAAAACTAATCTTTGACATACAAGTGATGTTGGTGGAATATCATTATGAAATCGAACAAGACGCATTGATAGAACACTATGTGAACGACTTGATTCAGTATTTAGTTGTGTATGAGCAATACGACGTCGTTTTAAACCCATATTAAGTAAATCAATAGCTTCTTCACTTGTACGTACTTCAATTTCTTTAACATCTTTTATATATGGTCGACCACGATTATCTTCACGTAATTGTTTTGATTGTGGTGCTCTAGAATAGATTTATTTATTTATTTATTTTTCATTTCAAAGAAATTATCTTACTTATTAAGAATATCATCATCAAATAAATCATAAATATAATTATTATATATTTCAACAAACGTAACAAAGAGAAAATATGAACAATTTTCGTTCAATTGTGGATTCCATAATGATGTTGTATCCAATGTACGAGCATTGGATAATTCAGGTACTCTAAATATAAGAATATCATTTAAACTTGAAATTAGATGATTTCATAATGTTTTTTCAAGATTTCTTCGAGAATTCAATTAAGTCATAGCATAGGAGATATTGGGCGTGGATATCTTCGTGCAATATCTTTTGTGCTGATACTTAATTACGTTTCCGAGAATATCTGTAGAAGGCATCATATGAATTAAATTATGTTGAATCATACTTGATACGTGGATTGTTACCATTTCTCGCCATTTGTAGTTCTTTACGTTGTCGTTCAAGTAAAATATCAGATTCACTTTGAATTTCATAACTATTTTGTCGATCAGAACGAAGAAGCTTAAAAATTAAATAAAGACAATAAGTGAAAAGAAAAGCACTTGTTTAAAACTAACATATTTTTTTCCAAGATATGGTCCAACTGAATTAAAAATAACATCAAATGAACGTGGAATTAAACCAGGATTATTTAATGGACCCATCATTGTATAAGTTTTTCCAGAACCTGTTATTCCATATGTAAATAATACACCTAGATTTTCGTAACAAATAAAATATAATATTAACTTTGAACAAGAGACAACATACTGCTTTTTCCTAGAATCAGATCTTCAAGTAAAGGTAAAGCTAATTCTTTGAAAGCAGCTGATTGACAAATATTATCTGTAAGAATATGACTAAATTCATAACGAGACTAAAATAAAAATAATAGAAAAAGTTAAGTAGATTCAATGTAAAATACTTACTTCTCTGATTTGTCCATTTTTAGCATTCTAGGAATGTAAACTATTCAATGAATTTGAGATGTACTAAGATGCATTCACTAACCTCGGACGAATAGAGAATAAGTTCTTTGGAACTTGCAACTTTAATGCATGATGATGAATTATCTGTCTGTTGATCAGTATTATTATCTTTTGGTGGTCGTAAACGACAAAAAACCTTTGAGAAATAATGTTGATTAGTTATGAAATATACGATAAGATTATTGATGACTCACTTCTACAGGACAACCACCACCGGTAGCAAGTAAATCACGTGAGCCAAGCTGCGTTTTCTTCATTGTAGTGTGTGTTATCATTAAAATCAAAACAATTTATATAGTCGAAAAGAAACAATAGGAAAACAAAAATATAAATACAGAATAGATTGATCGAGGTACTATATCGATCCTATAACAACTAAAAGAATATATCTATTGGTCGATTCATACAAAAGATAAAATGCCATTACTGTGTAACAATTATACTCCATAATACTGAATCGATTTGAATAACAAGAAGAATAAAAATTGTTGATAAAATACATGAAAATTCGACTACAATTATCATAATATTTAGTTCACATTAATTACTTAATAGATGCCACTTTTGGCAATCTAATGTGTTTGCTCGCAAGAGTATACGTATCATCCAGAAAAATTTTCATAATTCATATCGATTATTAATTGTAAATTATACAGAATTGTTAAAGTTTAATAATACATAGGACTATCCAAAAGTAGTGGAGGAGATACTTGAATTCTTTATAACACCTCAGTTATATCATGATAATAATAAACTTTCGGTAACATCTGTTTTTCTGTCATATGTGGCCGTTATAGTAATACTGTTTTTTTTTTATAAAAGTTAGATAGTAAATTCTTTGAATAGTTTCTAATAGAACCAAGATAGAGAGCTGTGATTTTCATCATTCGACAGAGAAGACAAGGGTATATCGAATTTCATATCATACGTTTTCCTAGTATATTTTCTGAAGTTTGTTTAATCAATTTTCTAGATATGAGAAATAATTGTTTTTAAGGAAAAAGAAACCAAAAAACAAGCTTTTCTTCACAGAAATGATTAGAAAACTCATTTAAACCTTCAGCTAAAATATCTGTGATTCCTAAATGATTAACACTCAACATGTAAAACTTTTGAAAAGTTGTAGATCTTAAATTGGCTATTTGAATATGCACACGAAATATATTGTTATCTTGATATAGCTTGAAGAGTGATGTAACAAACATAGAAAAATAGAGCGTCGTTTTTAATATCAGTCCATGTTGAGACAAAAGTTTCTTTAAGCTTTTTATAAGGAACTTAATTCCCTTCGCCACTACTTTTGGAAAGCCCTAAGTAAATTGAATGGTCTTTCACTTTATTTAACATACTCCTCATGATCAGAAGATAGCGGTGTCACCAGAAATTTAAGGCAAGTGGCTCAGTTCCTCATCATACTAACGTCACCTTAGTATTACCAAATTCTAAAGCTCATATCGCATTGAAGCGAAAAGGTTATATGCACACACTCTCTATCGTAGACGAACAACCACCTAGTTCATGCATAAGAATAAAATGTCATGAAATCAAAAAAGATTACTCTTTATTTTGTGCAGAAGCCGAGTTATTTGACGTACGCAACACGATCTGTGTTGGTTCTCTAAGAGGCATTGCACAGAAGTCGCTATCAACGTTGCTCAAGCGATCTCAATAATTTGGCTCATATTGTCACAGTAGAGAGATCCTGCAAGGCTAGGAAGAAAATGAAAATTTCAGCTCAAATGGATGAACTCTTCTCGAGATATAGATCTTGGAACTATTGACAATCAAGGAAAATTGGAATCTTTTGTAGCGCAATTTTTTTCAGTAAATTTTCATTTCATACTGAACAATAAAACTTGTCCCCGAATTTGTTTGATCATAGATACTTTCGAACATGGGCTATCTTGTCATGGTAATAAAAATTCTTCATCATCAGATATGTTTCGCTTGGTATCATATACTTTTTTCAGAAAGCATATTCACGTGTTTCGAGCAAGTTGTTCGAATCAGCGCAGTAGAATATCTCGAGAGTAGTCTCATTCAAAAAACCAAATCAGATTGCATCAGTTGACGTTTTCAAAAAGTTGTAAGATTGAACTTTTCTACAGAATTCTTTTTTAACAATATTTGATTTTTTTATCGAAAATTCTCGTTTGTAAAAACTAATTTTATTTTTAGGTAGTGGTATGGTTATCCCAAATGAGGCACTAATCATTATTCTGTCACAACCTGTATTTTTACTGGAGTTATTTTCTTTGGTAGGTTTACTATGCACACGATTAGTTTTTATTGTGCTTTGTTTTCTCATGAATTTATTTTAAGTCTGTCTTATTCGACATTCAACGACATTAGTTGGATAATCATTTTATTTTGTGATGCATCACTGCATATGATGAAGAGATGCATATCGCCCATAAAACGTAGAGCTCACTGCGGAAACTTTATAACTTCTAGAAAAAAAGAATGACCACTTTGTTAGTAATCCTTTATATGCTGGTTTTCTATATACGGATGTATCAAAAGGTCCAACTTTACAGAATAGTAGCACGTCTTGAAATAGAAGTTCATTTTTTTTCTTTTTCAGCTGATCTGCATTGTATGTCAGGATTAACCTCTTGAATCCCGCTGTCTTCAGACTGAAGACAAGCAGGACTGGCGAAATCGACCAAGTTTGACAAATGAAAATGATTGGTTGGAACTTTTACAGAAAATCAAACGAATTTTTCTGCTTCGGAAAATGCCAAAACTGTCCGGTGCTCCTCCAGCATTCTCGAGATATTCCTTAATCTAGTTCCAAATTATTGTAAAACTAGCGCCATCTGTGTTACATTTTTGTTAATATCTTCAGAATGCTGGAGGAGCACCAGGCAGTTTTGGCATCTTCAGAAGCAGAAAAATTCGTTTGATTTTCTGTAAAAGTTCCAACCAATCATTTTCATTTGTTAACCTTGGTCGATTTCGCCAGTCCTGCTTGTCTTCAGTCTGAAGACAGCGGGCTCCAAGAGGTTAAAGCTGTTGAACATCTTTCTTACATTATCAGTGGTTGCATTTTTAACAACAATAACAAATATGTCATCAACATATCGCTTGTACCACAACACTCCTGAATTCATTAATTTTTTCATTGGCTTATTTTCGAGATATATCATGAAAATATCTGCTAACAGAGAAGCTAAAGATGAGCCCATGTTAGCTCCATTATATCGTCGATAATACTGGATATCAAACCAGAAATGTGTATCTGACGTAGCTGTGATTAGCAGCTCTTTTGTATTGCAACGACTAAGACATTTTGAACACCAATCTGTCTTTTTCTTTATGAATTTATGACGGTAATGTTCTAGTCCATACATCTTATCAAGATTTATATCTACAATATATCACACTCGAACTTTCATGTATAGGCTAATGACATCAAAAGAAATCATTTTATGTTCTGTCATATTTGCTTCTAACCTTCTAATGGGCTACAAACTGAAATGTATTAGTTTATGATACGAGTTTACCAACGTTTGAAAGAGCATAGTATATCCCCTTAACTGTACCAATAGCACAATAAAACCAAGTTTGAAATCGTTCGGCTAGAATCGCTGCAAATAAGAAACTTCAGATCTCGTATGTCAGATCTAAAAGTACTAATGAAGAACACTTAGATGCTACTTTCAAAACAACATTAGCTATACAACGTCACATTCCACTAACTAAACATCCGATAGATTAATATAATTGTTCGCCATTAGACAGACATATACATTTTAGTAGACTATTAGTAAAAGCATCTACACTGAAAAAAGAAATGGTACGCTGCGAAACTTATGAGGTTTTGTGGAACTTTTCCATACCTTTAAAAGTATCGTACAAATGCACGAAACTATTTTAAGGTTTCGAAGTCTCTCAGATTTCGTGTAAAACCATTAGGAGTATTTTTACCCGAAAAAGGTTTCATATTATACATTCTAAAGGTATCGTAGTCAAGAGATTTCGCACCAGACTACTTTTGGCTCGTCTCAACTATTATAGAAACATATGTTCATCGATCAGCAATTCAACTGATCGGACTCCTTTCTTCTGTTTATCTATTTACATTCACTCTACAATTAATTATGCAGGTTAAATGACTGGTTCTGGGCTTTTTTCTTGCACATAAGAATTTTCTTGTTGCGCTAATAGGGCGTGTTTCAGTTATGTAACAATCACATGCCTTTCTTTCCTAAATCGTTGAGCGGTTTAAAATTTTACCGAAAGAATCATAGCATTCGAGATGGACTAAATTTTTCATGCACCTAAATTTATTTAGACCTCTAGTAGCTTAGATATCCATCCATATTAATCAGAAAGTGGAAGACAGAGATCACGTATTTCGTTGATGGTGATGAATAATGGCTCTCTTACGTAATAATGTGCTTCTCTCTTAATAGTTAGTTTAGGGTTAAATAAATTCAAAGGCCATGCAACTTTTAGGGTTCTGCAATTTCCTCAATAAAACTGTCACCAATAGGACTTTCACCATTTGCGAAAGTCTATTGTACTTTCGCCAACAGGTGAAAAATCCAGGCGATATGTGTGCGAAAGTCCGAAAGGTGTATTAGAAAATGTCCACATCACTTTCCTCAAATATCACTAAGCAAAACTAATACATTATACATGCGAGGGTTAGAAACTAATGTTGATAGAAGATATATATATTATAGCTGGCACTCATAAAGTAGGCGACGAACACTTTTCACTCGCAGTTTATTTACACTCATGTTGGCGAAAGTACAGTGGACTTACGTCAAGCGACAAAATTTCAGGGAGTGCATTGGCGAGTGTCCAGATGATTTTCGCCATTGGCGAATGCCCACTTCGTGAAATTCGAGTAATGCATTCAAATGGTAATTGATGTTTCGAATTGGAAAACATTATGTGTTTCTTTCTTTATGTTTTAGGTTGACTTCGACCTTATTCAAATGGTCACATATATTTCATCGGATGAAGCCTAACAAGATCTCTGGTTTGCTGCTGTAATGAGATTAGGCTAGGTGTCGAAATGCATTCTTTTCTGGAGAGCAACCTTCTCTCATTGCGTTGCTGCTATCGTGAACTCGCAAACCTTGTATTTGGTTGAGAGATCAGTACCCGAGAAAATTCTGTATGCAATTATATTGGTTTTCGAGATCTTGGAAATCTTGTCCGGTTTTTTCAGAAAAGGGATTTTTTTACAAATTAGATGAGCATAGTGATTTATAAATAGAGCCAACGGTGTTCCTTTTGAATGCCATCAAAATTTTGACTACGAAACGTTTCTTCATGTGATCTAAAAATAATTTTGTACAAAACCATATTTTTACGAAACTTTAAAAAGGTTTCGATTTCGTTGCAAAATTCGAAACCTTTTTTAAGTTTCGTATGGTACCTTTTTTTTCAGTGCACCAACACACCCACACCCATAGATTCATCTCAATCCTTGTTTTTCAAAAGTTCTTGCCGGAATTGTCTCTCTGTCTTTCTCGTTCTTTTGTATTTATTATCTGTTATTTTTTGTCTTTTTATCTTGCAATTTCTTTCGTGCCTTGAAAATATTTGTTTGTGTGGTTTTTACCGTCACGATACACTGACGTTTTTGTGTCGTTAAAAAAGACTTTGCTGACATTGATTTTTTTGATGATCAACATGTAAGATATACGAAAATATGTCATGGTGATAGAAAAGATAGCTTTACCCATTGACTTTAAAAAGGCCTTCATTGAAAAAAACTTTGCTTAAAATATGAAAGAGTTGTCAATCGTGTATTCGTATATCTAGAAGATTTCATTTTCATGAATAGAAGACGGGTCACAATATATAAGGAAGAAAGAAAAAGAGAAAAAGAATAAAATTAAACAGATAAACGTATAAAAGAATTATAATCATTAGCTTTTTCTTTTAATTTTTTTTAGTATAGGTGAAATATAATATTCAAATGTTTCTTTTCCCATTATAGCACATTCCATTGGTGATGTAGCCATTACTGGTCCTTAATGTGATTCATCAAATAGCAGTGCTAAACTACCAAAATATTCTAATAGACCTAATTTTGATGATCTAACAATCGGTTGATCTTGACATTGTGTTGCATAAATAACTGGTGTACTACCTGGGTCGATCAAAACAGAATGTGGTGTCAGTTCTTTTTCGTCAGCAAACGATGAAAAAACGACTATTTTACGGACGTTTATTCTTCATATTTTCTCTAAATATTTGACACAGTGATACGACATCAACTTTTAGGCGTATACAGTTGTATATGTGCCGTTACCTCACTATGATACGTCCGTATAACTGCATCCACTATTCTGATCGTATGCAGTCCGTTCATACATCATATTTTAATCGTAAATGTCCGTATACGGACTGTATTGTTCGACGCTGAGTAAACAAAAATAGAAAAAAAATTAAAAGAAAAATAAAACAACAATTTCTTTGTCTTTTTTGTAATTACTTTCAATACTTATATAAAAAAAGAGATCCTGGATTACTTTTTTCTATGATGATATCACCAACATTGGAATTCATAATTGAGATATTGAGAATCATTTGAATTTTTTTAATACTATCAAGATGTTGAAAGATCTGTATTGAATCTATTAACTTTGTACATTTATCAACAGTCTAAATGATAAAAAATCGCTAAAGAATCAAAAGAAAAAGTTCTCTATTTATAGCTTTTATCGATAAATAACTTTCCTCATATTTTTCATCATTATCATCATTTAAATCATCACTAGCATTTAAATCTTCATCAGGATTTAAATCTTCTAAATTAAAGATAATTATTCAATGGTAATAAAAATATATTCTTACTATTCATTCTTTTATTTACCACCGATATAATTCGTTATAAGTATGTCTAAAAGAGAAAAAATAATTTTCTCTCTCATATTCGGATCATCACGATGAGGGTGTGAGTGTTGGCGTGGGAATATGGTAGTAGGTCTGTAATGTGGATGATTCTTTCTCTTCTCACACCCATGCCCACCCACCTCCTAAAATCACCAACAAGCGAAAGACAATTGTTTTAGAATGAATAGATTAAGAACATCCAAACCGTCTTATGAATCAATAAAAGCTATTCGAAACTTTTTCCTGCTAGCTTACTATGACAAGCATGTTGATGAATCAACCAAATGAAATAAGTCATTCACATAAGTATCAACTATTTCTTTTAATGGACCTTTTTTCCAAAAGTTGATCAAACGCAAACATCAGATATACCGTCATTTTTTTATGTGTTGAGAGCTTTAATGATTGTGGGTCAGATAATGGACGACTAGTATCAATACGTGTCAAAAATGATGAGGTTGATAGTGTTGATAATGTTAATGTAGATTGTTCTTGTATGGGGATTGTATCAGCTTGTATATTGCTAGTTGAATCAATTATATACGACAGATTTGGTGTTTCAGTAAATGCAATTGTGAAGCGCGGTTTTTGATCATTTAGCTTTTGCTTTTTTGATCAGCACAGTGGAAAAAAAAAGATACAGTGGTTCTTAGTGTTTATGTACTAGGTATCATAAACTTTATGAATACATTTACAAAATATTTCAATATATCCTTAGTTTTCCTCAGGAGATATGAGTAATCACGGATAACTTACAATACTGATTAGTACTGTGAATATCTCTAATAGTTTGAAGAATACAAAATGACTCTCGATTACTTTCAGCCGAAAATTACATAGAAACCATCAATCATTGAACATTTCTGAGCTTCCTTGACCCTACCCTAGTTACGTCACTAAGAGAGAGGGATCTTAATAAGTTCAAATTTTTTTTTCTCATATGAAGAATTTTAATCCAGGCTAAAGCACAAAAACCATATGAGAAATGTACCGCCGCGAAACGTTTCGCAAAAAACATATGACACATCATGACTCCATAACCAAATTATCATATAAAATAGAACAAGATGAGCATCCTTATAATTTCACAAAGGAAAGATGCATGTGAGAATGAAATAGTTTAAAGTTATTTGGATAATTAATTTCCTTCAAAATAATTCTCTAATACTAAATTCACACTTATTTATTTAACACATTCGACCCGATGGAGTCCACCGGTGGACCCCACTTTGCATTTCATATTTTAATCTCTAAATACGTTTTATTAAAAAAGCAACATATACCATAAGATTCAGCGTGAAAAGCTCTACAATCTCCATAGTAAAGCTTATTTTAATTGTGTAATTTTTGTTTTCAAAGAAAGTAAAACTCTGTATAACTAGTTTTCGAAGTTGCGAAACGATCATGTTTTTTTGCACGAATGTGAAATTTCATTTTTCTTGTTTCATCTTTTTATCACCTAATATTATTTCGTAAGAAAAAACAAAATATAGCACAAGATGCAGTGTGAAACGCTCTACAATCTACATCGTAAAGTTTATTTTTTGTCTTCGAAAAAAGAAAAATTCTGTGCAATCAATTTTCACAACCTCAAACATTGGTCACACACAATTTTAGTTTATTTTGAAAACAAAAAGTACACAATTGAAATAAGTTTTATGATGTAGATTCTAGAGCTTTTCATGCTGCATCTTGTGGTAGCTATATTTTGTTTTCTAATAAAACGTATTTAAAGATGTTAGTTTCTATGAAATTTGAATCGGGGTGAATGTGTTAATCATCATTTTGTCAAAGTGAAAATATTCCATTCAAATATGCATTAGAAGAATTATAATATAATAAATTTCAAATATCTTGACAAAAATTTAAAAAAAGATATATGGAAAATCATTTGTGTGAGTTGTATCATTAATAAAACAGATACCAATAGAGAGCGCTACCCTCCTTACACGTCGACATTCTATTGGTCGTGAGTTATCTAATCAATCAATAAGGTCGAGTTAGAACAAGATACATCATTTATTTTTGTAGCATTTGATAAATACCGAAAACAGTGATATTTTAATGGATATAGCACTGGTAGAAAATGATTATATTCTACCGACTGTAATTTATAAACATGATTGGGTTCATATACTTTATATAGGAATATGCATTATCTTCTTTATGATTCAAGTTTGTCAACGTATAACTGTAGATCTCATTTACTCATCAAGTATGTAATCATGTTAAGAATCTATTTTACTCAACATATATTTTCTATACAGAAGATTTTAAAACTGAAACTTATGTTCCATCTCTCAATCGATATCCAACTGAGTTAACTCCGACACCTTCGAGTATTTCATATATTTGGTATCTTGTTTTTTTTTGGCAGGTAAGAAAAAAGTCAATAAAAAGTTTTAAATAATTTTTACATATGTCAACATTAATCTAGGCTGCATGGATAATATATTCAATCATTGGTATTTTCCGTCGTACATCATCAGGTACATATTTCTATCAACATCCATGTGCTATGAATAAATGGTGTTATTTCTATACTGTATTTGGTCTTATTTTGTTTACGCCACAATTGGCAGCTGCTGCACGAAATAAATATGGAATTGGAGTAAGAAAAATAAAGCAATTCAATCTTCTTTTTCTTTTAATGAATTCCTTATTTTTATATTAGATTTCAATATTTCGTCATTTGGGAACATTATGTGAATTAATTATAATTCTAGTTGTTGTTCATGTATCATTATGGGAAAATTTAAAAAGTTATTTGCGAAATAGATTGTACGTACAATTTGTTTTTTGTTTTGCTTGTAACAATTTCAGAAAAAAAAACAATTATTTGTATTGTTTAAGTTTTGTCGATGTTTGGTTAACACGATTATTATATCATAATGGTTTAGCTTTATGGGCATCTGTTCTTTTCTACGAAAGTTGTTTGTCAATCATCATAGGTCTTATTTATGGTGATATAGTTTCACCATCAATAGCTTCTATTATCGGATGTTTTCTTCTTTTATTTGGTTTTATTACACTTGCTATTCTTGAAAACGGTGTTTTCTATAATTCACTTGCATTTACTTTATCACCATGGCTTACTTTTTTATGGCTTTTGGGAGATGTTGTTTTTCGCTCACATAAAGAATTCTCTTCATCTTCTTTAGCCATTTGGTTTGTTCGTTTTATTTTTTGTGTAACATGTATATTAGCATGTATTCGTTTGTGCTTGTTTTTTTGGAGATACAAAAACAAAATGATACCAACGTTTCAGTCACCAAGGATTTACAGTTTTATTGTAGAACCAAGAGCTTTTTAAATAGTTAAGTACTTATCCCTATTTACTTGTTAATACTGTACAGTATTTAATGTTTTATTTTTTGTTAATAAATATAAAATATTGAACGCTTAGTAAAAATAAAATTTATTCTTTATAGATAAAAATTAATGAATGTTTCATTTCAACTATCTTTTTATATTCAATAAAATTGTTCATAATCGAATCAAGTCGATTTAGTCAAAATCATAATGATCAAATGAATCACCTATTTATACTATGTTTAAAAATGAACTAATAATTATTTTTTCAGTGATGAGTAAAGTGTCATGTAAAAATAATCATGTTATATTTTGAAAGGTATCGAACATGTTTCAAGAAAGTCAATGGCATCATTTGTGCTTTGTTTGAATGTCAATTAGAAGAAGGGGCATAACTGATAAGTCAATTTTATTTTATAGCTTGTGTTAAGGTTATTTTTGCTTAAACTGAATGAAACCTAGTTCGCCTCATCAATATGTAATCGAGCGGCCTGTTCTATGTTTATCTCTGAATGAAAGATCACATGAAGTTTTCACGCAATGGAAATAAACATAGAATAGACTTATCAATGAATACTTCAAATTGAAAGTCAATAGATTGTCTTCGATTACTAATCTAAGATTGATTTCTTTTTTTTCAAACCTTAGTGGGGTTTTGTTTCAACTAATGCAAGTGATTTGACTGAATTATCTTGTATTTATAGTAAGTACGATTAGTCGAACAAATGACTTTTATGAAGACATACTGGTTATGAAATCAATGAATGAAAATGGACGCTGATGTCTCCATTTTGAAATGCAAGAGTTCATCATTCTGATCTTAATTTAATTGAAGTAGTGAATCATATTTCCGATGAATATTCTAAATGAACTTGTGCATACTATTTTTCTATCATATTATTAGTAAAAAAACAGCTGTTAAACGATAAAATTATCTGAAGTAATTTCATAGCGATAAATCTATTTTGAAATTGAGTCTGTAAAACTGTTGACCATTTGCTTGATCAAAAATAAAGATAGACTAATCGATGCACAGAAATACGTCGTATTAGATATTTCTTATCTTTTATGGTTTTTTCCCGAGAATTATATGGCATATGACGATTTTTATGATTGATTGAATATATTCATAAATATTCAGGTAGAAATCAATATAATTTTATTGTTGATTATCTTCTAACTTTTTTTTACTGATTTAAAGACAAACAAAAATCCCATAAAGTGATTGCTTTTAAATGTATAAATGTCAATTGGAATGTATTTTCTCAGCAACAGATATCAAATTTTCAGAAGTTTCATTCTTTAGCTTTCAATAGATAAAAATATGTAGGACAAAACTTGTATGATCTTTTTTTTTACGATTTAAAATTGAACAATTAGGATCTTTATGTCTACTATAAGTCTTATATCGTTCTTGTTGATATCATGCTAAGATAAAAGATATTTCAATGTGTTTTTTTTCTTTTAATATCTTCGTTTCAAAGACTTTAAATGTTTGTTAGACTAATGACTTCCTCTAGATACATAACATTACTTAGTATAGTTAATTGTGTCGTGTTTTTAATCAGAACCTTTGCGTAAGATATAAAAAATAAGCTAACCAATTGAATCACTTGAAATAGTAACTTATTCTTTTTTTTACGTATGTTTTCATGACATGCTTTTTTACAATGACATTTCTTTATTTGAGAATAAAAATGAATATAATACGGTTAGTAAAGCTTTTTAAACTTTAATTAGCTTTTATTGTATTTGTAATAAAAAAATCATGCTTCTTTTCTGTAATATTTGATAACATAAGAAGCGTAGACTATGTTGAATTGACATCACAGTTGAGTAAAAATGCACTAGAAGTGTGAAATGATACAACAGAAAGGTCTAATTTTTGAACCTATTAACCTTCTTAAAAGTACTGTATTTTAGTGTAGTGTGTAATTGGTGGCAGTTTGCTCCAATGAAGAACGTACCTCATTCAATACGATCAGCTAGCATTACAAATGAGTTGATTGACAGAATACTTCATTGTTGGGTTATCAGTTTACTTGTATTTTTATAATTGACTAAACTATATTCTCAAAGGGGTTTCGAGTCGGCGATGAACAAAATTAAATGACCTAAACTAGTAAACAGTGAGCAGATACAAAAAAGTGACTTAGTCGTGAAATATTCTGTCAACCAGCTCATTTGTAGTGTTGCTCAATTGTATAGAAAGACGTATATCCTTCATTGAAGTACACTGCCATCAATCATACGCTACACTACGGTAAAGTACTTCAGTCATTCTTGTAACTAACATCCACTTGAAGCCAATGAGGTTCTTTATAAAATGAACGAGGAGAGGAAGTGATGGAAGACTTTTGTTCAGAGGTGTATATCTTGTCGAGTTTCAAGCTGAATTCGATATATAATATGCAACTCTGCAATATAGTGATTTTGTATTATTTTGCAAAAGATAAGAAAACTAAAACCAAAAAAAAATTTTTTGCGATTGCCATTATCATGACACAAGTGTAAAGAACATCTCGTACTTGAAGATTTCATCGATGATATTAAACGTTGGCATTCTTGTCTGGATACTCAGTCGGTGTTCTCAATTGCATTTAATTTGTTTCTCGTCACTATTCCAGCTATTTTTGTATGGAAATTCCACGATGATTCAGGACTGAAACAAATCCGTAGTCCATTTACAATTAGTTTAGAACTTCTATTCGCAACTAGATGTCAACTTGCATATAATGCTGCTTACAACTCATGAACATATCGTCTAAAAGTTCTTGTCTCTTCAATATGGTTGAGTATCAATATAAGTGTTTTTATTTTTTATTACTATGTTTATTTATTTGGAGCAAGGTTCGCTCTGCATGTGATTGATATAATATCGTTCACAGCTATTCCGATTGACTTAGCATGGGGATTTTTGCTGAGTTTGTTTAAATATTTCTCTCAGCCAAGATCAAAGACAACTAATATGAAAATGATTTTATATTGAAAAAAATTCTTATTATTTTACTAAGAAAAATACACTTCATTTTTCCACTGATGGTTCTTTTTTTCTGACAAAGAAAGAAAAATCTGGGATTTTTATCATTAAATAACTTTTAGTGACGTTTAATTTCATTTCTCAAACGACTATTATATATGATTACTTGACGAAGTTTTAGAATCTGTTCTTGTTTTTATAAATATTGCTGAAAAAAGTGCCATACTTTGTTTTATCAATCATGTCTTCTTATAGAGAAAACAGTTGTGCATTTTTTTCATCCATAAAAAAATAGAAACTTCACGATTGGGCTTCAACTTAGAAAAACTTCAGTTTTTAAAATCCTGCCAAAACCATCACGAAGAACATTTCTCAACCATGTTTAATTTCCTACAAAAGATAAGGTATTCGAAATTGGATCATGGAGACTGAGAAGAACAATCTCTAGTTTTGGATATAAATTTCTTTGCTTCAACGATCACTTTCATGATGATGATGATGATTTTGAAAAGCACTAATAGCAATGCATCACAATTGAAACATACAAATAATATAAATTATTTGATTGCAGTGCATAAAAAATATCACTTTTCAAAGTATTTATAACACTCACAGCTAAAATATGCTTCACGTTGCTCTGATGTATTATAATTGCTCATTTGAATCTGTCTAGCATCAATTTGTTAAATATTCCTTCGATCACAAGCGTTCTTATTGATAATAATAACAACAATTGATTTGTTATAATAATTTCAGAAAAACTTCAAATTATGTATGTTTATAGCTTCTCGTAGTTCTCTAACCTTAAGTATTAATCTGTCGGGACGATATCAATTGATCAGTTATCAATAAGTTCTTTTTTATGTGGAGACCTTTTCTGCTGCGATATCTTCTATTTATCATATTTATCTGGCATTCAAAGTCGATGAAAATTAGAAATATGGGTTTGATTCAAGATCAAAACTATACCTATTGTCCAGATTTTCAATAATAAACTTGCTAGCATTTTTGTAGAGATGAATTCTTACATTTCAAAAGTCAACTTTTACAACTAGCCATTGACAATATTAAATCCATTGCTTTCGTTTGAAGTAACTGAACACATATAGCCTTGGTAAAGCTTCTAATTATGACAAAATTGATTTTTATTAATGTTGGATCAATGGATGGTGATATTTCACGCTTGATGACTATATCATCTTATATTTGCACCATATTCAACCGACATCCAATCTCACATAAATTACATTTGGTGAATTCAATCATCGAGGGGTAGTATATGCTAGATTTGGAATTAGAATTTATGATATCAACTCGTGCTTATCGTTAATAGTTTAGACTATGAATTCGACGTATTAATTATCATATGGTACAGTACTCACTAATTCAAATAAACTTTATTCACTAGATAAACATGTCAACATGTTGACTTCATATATGGTTCAGGAAGTTCACTATACATATTAAATTAGCATTTTGATTCTGATGATAAAACCTTAATAATTGGTTTGGTATTTAAATGTGCCTAGTAGTAGAAGAAATGAATATTTTTTATTTAAAGATAGAATAATTTTGGCTTGCCTCTTTCAGCTTTACATAATCAGAATGGTTGAAATATTTTGACATCTGTATTAGTGAAACGTGGTCGTTTTACAATTATTGTTTCAACTATTAATTTATATTAATTGTTATCAACAAGTCATGAGGTTTGAACATGATTTATAACCTGATTCTTAACATTTCGATTAGGAATGTTTTGCATAGATGTCACTAATAAAACATATCTTGCTTTAGTTTTATTCAAGTCGTTTTCTAATGAGTAGGCCAAATTCTTATCTTGCCTATTCTAAGACTTGTCTCGTGTATTCTTCATATTGTAAATAGTAAAATAAAAAATATCATGAAACTCATAATCACAAAAAAAACACTGTACTGATATAATAGAGTCTTTTTCATATTGTGTGTAGTGTTGAATCAATCTTCGTTATCATTTTTTAGAATTACTCTGCTTCAAAAATGGATAAGAATAACAATAGTAATGTTATATCTCGTTATAATGAAATCAAACGACTCATATTAAATGATTTTAAAAATGATCCAACTATATTAAGTATTGATGGATTACTAGATGCATTGCTTGTACTTAATGATGAATGTTCTAATGCAACCTTGAGAAGAGAAAAAACAGTTAAAGCATATCTTGAAAATGGTATCTATTTTGTTTGGTTGATGTTTAATATTGGTTTTATATTATTTATTTTAGTAAAAACATTTGTATCGCGTATAAAACAATGTCGATTGAATCGGAATGATTTCGAGAAAATTAAAACTATTGGGCGAGGAGCATTTGGGGAAGGTATTTTATATGAATTTAAATATTTCATCTTAAAATAATTTTTAGTTGTTGTCGTAAAAATGAAAAATACGGAGCAAATATTTGCCATGAAAATAATGAATAAATCAGAAATGTTGAAAAGAGCCGATGTAGCTTGTTTTCGTGAGGAACGTGATATTCTAGTATATGGTGATTCTCAATGGATAACAAAGCTTTATTATGCATTTCATGATAGTGAAAATTTAGTAAACTATGACGAAAAATTTGTTTTAAATTCTTTTCAAATATCATTCTTTTAGTATCTTCTAATGGAGTATTGTCATGGTGGTGATCTTCTAACTTTATTATCAAAATATGATGATGAGTTTTCAGAAGATATGACTCGATTTTATGTTGCTGAAATAATCTTAGCAATTGACTCTTTACATGAGCTTGGTTATATTCATCGAGATATAAAGTAATTTGATATTTATAGAATTTTCTTTTTATTTATTCGTAACTTATTTTGAAAGACCTGACAATATATTAATCGATAGTACAGGACATATTCGCTTGGCAGATTTTGGTAAAATGTCAACTCAAATTTCGTTCTATAAGACCTACGATTATTTTAGGTTCTTGTCTTCGAATGAGAGCTGATCGAACAGTTATTAAAATAGCTGACGTAGCTATTTTTTATTAGGATACCTTTCTTCTCATTTAGGTGCAGAGCAATGTTTCTGTTGGTACACCTGACTATATTTCACCTGAAGTGTTATCTGCAATGAATGAAGGTCAAGATCGTTTTGGATGTGTATGTGATTGGTGGAGTTTGGGATGTGTTATGTGGGAAATGTTATTTGGTTCACCTCCATTCTATGCTGAGACATTAGTTGATACTTACGGAAAAATAACGGCTCGTGATCAAAATAAAGTTAGTCTTATTTTTGGTTATTTCAAATGAATAATCTGAATATGCTTTACTTATTCCTATAGATTCCACTTTCATTCCCCGATAATATCGAAATATCGAATGATGCGAAAGATTTATTAGAGAAGCTTCTTTGTTCAGCAAATAATCGTCTTGGAAAAGATGGACTTAATGATTTTAAAAAACATCCATTTTTTGCCACAACTGATTGGACTAACCTAAGACAAAGTAATAAATCGTAGAAAAATGATGAAAAACTTAATGTCTTACCGCTTTTACAGTAAAACCTCCATTCATTCCTGTTGTACTAAGTCCGATAGATACATCCAATTTTAATGATGTTGAGCCTCAAACATTTGACAAAGTATATATTATTCTCCTTAAATTCATTATTCTGTATGTTGACTTCTTTCTGGTGTTTATTTAGAAAACTACTAAGGTAACAGTACTATGTCTATGAAAAAAATACTCTACATATATTTATGATGTACTTTTGTACTTGAGTGTTGCTTGTTCTTTTTTGAATTTTATCACCAAGTAAATCAATTATTGTAGAATTTCGATACATCTACCTCCAAAATGGGGTTGATCGGACAAGTACCGTTCATTGGTTTTAGTTATTCTGGTGACAAGTAAGCCAATAAAAACTGTTTTTTTTTTGCCAGACTCAATAAGGAAATGATATACATCTTAATCATAAGTATATAGAGAATAATTTTGTGTTTCCGGGGATACCGAATAGGGCTAGTGACATTCAAGATGTTCCAGATTTCTCTCTAAGCCTTATTAGTCAATCTGTTGTAAAATAGAATGAATTCGGATCTTATTACGCTTCTGCCAAAAGATGAAATCTCACCATTCAGCACTATGGCTATCTTCTCTACTACTAAAATGAAAATGTGTCATAGGCACTTAACACATAAATGACGTGGATTTGAGTAAATTCAAAAACAAAATTTCAAGAACTGTTGGCGTAATCGCTTCAAGCTCTAAATATATGCAAAATGATATAATTGTTGTCGTGTTTTGAAATTGATACATGATCCAGTTGTTTGAATCGATACCGCTGATACTTTATACTCTATTTAATTTAATAGGGAAAATTGCATCAGCCACATCACAATTTTTTCAATTTTGTTAAAAAACTTAAGGGTACCCCC